TCATCATCATCATCATCATCATCATCATCATCATCATCATCATCATCATCATCATCATCATCATCATCATCATCATCATCATTGCTTTTCTCACCGTAGGTCCGGGTATAGGTCAGAAACAAACACTGTCCACCTAGTGGCGTCGGTGGTCTAGTGGTTAGGCTACCAGACTCGTAATCGTGAGGTTTGCGGGTTCGGGAGTTCGAGCCGCGGGCCCGACGTTGTGTCCTTGGGAAAAGCACTTTACACGAATTTTCCCCACTTCACCTAGGTGAAAATGGGAACCCAGCTATAGACAGAGAAAGATCTTGTCAGTTTGATAGTGTTTGAGCGCATAACCAGCTGCTTGCATTGTATGCTTCCCGGGAAGCTGAGAATGTTTCTGAGTGTTCTCCTATAAGCGTGATTTATCTATTTTTTAAAGGCTTGAATCTGAGAAGTAACTCGTTTTGTCAGCACTCTTCCCATATGTCTATAAGATTCTGTGTGGTCCACAGGGCGATAGAAGACCGCCCCCACATCTCCCCCACCCTGTCCGAGCAGCTGAAGGCGTACATGAAGCTCCTACAAGCCAAGTTCACGGTCCAGACTGACGTGATCAGCACCAGCAGCAAGAACTACCTTGGCTTTGACAGGCTCCGGCAAGCCATCCAGACGCTGTCAGGGGACAGACAGCTGTTCCCGAACGTTATGAGAGTTATCCCCACCTTCTGGCTGGACGTGCAGCACTATATTGAGGTCAGGGGGGGGGGGGTTGGAGGGGAACTATGGCCCGCGCTCCGTCTCTCTTTCCTTGGTTCTTTCGTTCTTTCGTTCTTTCTTTTTTTCTTTCTTTGTTTTTTCTTTCTCTCTCTCGTTCTCTCTTTCTTTCTCTCTGTGTGTCTACCCCTCTCTCTGTTTCTCCATGTCCCCTTTTCTGTCTTCTCTCTCTCTCCCCCTCTCTCTCTCTCTCTCTCTCTCTCTCTTTCTCTCTCCCCCCATCTCTCTCTCATACACACACCCTCTTCCTTTTCTCTCTTTTTTCTCGTCTTCAATCTTTCTCTTTTCTTCTTGTTTTCTTATTTCTTCTCTTTCTTTATCTCTCTTTCTCGCTCTCTGTATTATTTTCTTTGAACTATTGGACTGTGTCACTCAAACCTTCTTGAATGACCAAGTAGAGAATTGAAACCACTCTCTCTTTATGTGGTTGCTTTTAAGCACAAGGGGGCTATCCCGAAAACTGCTGTTTTGAGAAAAATCGAAGGTAAAGTATTTGCCCCATGTTCAGTTTCTTGAAAAGACAAGGAGAGTATTCCCTGTAACCAAACAAATATACATTCCAATGAAATTAAACTTCTCCTATAGGCAAGGCAATGCCCACTTTTGGTGTAGGTTAAGTTTTCTGGAAACCCCGGATATCTGGGTGAGCCCGCTTGTCCTTAAATGCGACCATTTGTCGTCTGACGTCTTAACAACAGAACTTAGGCGCCTCTTTAAAAAAAGCTGCGCGTTTCCTTTCACAACTGAGTAAAGTAAAACATCTCCAACTGTCTGTCTCTCTTTTCTCAGGAGCGGGGGAACGCCATGTCAGTTCCCGTTCTGAAGTGGGATGACTTTGTGGAGGAAGTTACGTCACGTTTTGGCATGAAACACCTGATGAAAGCTATCGCCCAATATCTGCACGAGACGGGGCAGGTAAGGGAAAAGACGGACTGGTCTATTGATCAACACATTTGCATACTGCATATTATTTAAGAAAATGTGGACTGACTGACTGGATAAATGACCATAATATTATTATTCACTTATATGTAATACACGTTGGCCACCCCACGTCAGAAATGTTTGAATGATAATGCACCATCATATTTTTCAAATCTGTTGAGACTGTACGTTCCAACTCGCAATTTAAGGTCATCAGCTGGTAAAACGAAATGTATTTTACCATCTATGAAACTTAAAACAATGGGTGAAAGGACATTTGAATACCAAAGCCCCAAGATCTGGAATGTTTTAACAAGTATTTTAAGAGAGATCAAAGCTTTTGATTCATTCAAATGTCAGCTGAAGTCATTTCTGTTTTTAAATTAATACGATGAATATTTGGAGCAATTTTCTTTTAGTCATAACTCAACATCATATGTTACTGTTGTACGTTGTTGTACTGTATTGTAAAGCGCTCAGAGTCTGCGAACTTTTATCGGGGTTGAGCACTATATAAATGTCATTTATATTTATTATTATTATTATTATTATTATTATTATTATTATTATTATTATTATTATTATTATTATTATTATTATTATTATTATTATTATTATTATTATTATTATTATTATTATTATTATCATTATTATTATTATTATTATTATTATTATTATCATTATTATTATTATTATTATTATAATTATTATTATTATTATTATTATCAGTATTATCAGTATTATTAAACGTGTAAGAGAACGTGGACTGGCTAAGTGAATTAGTGACCTAAGCATAGCCTACAGGTACCAGGAAGGAATTGTGAACTGGCTAAACGAAAAAGTGACCAAACTTTTAATTATTAAATCTACCTGCTGGAGGAAAGGGGAATGTGGACTGGCGAAGCGAAAAGTGACCTAAGCATTTCCTACTGCTCAAGTAATGGAAATAAAAGACTGTCTGACTGAACCAATTAACACCAGAAATAAATATACTTTTTGTTTTAGTAAGCGTATAAAAGCACTTGCAACACAGTTAGGCCATATATATAAATACTTGAGATTAGAAGTGTTACAAGAGAGTAACCAAGCACAAAAAGCAGGAGAGATAATGAAGATAATATAAATATATGGGAAGTATGCTGATAAAATGAGTTATTTCTCGGAGTTGAGCCCGGTGGAAATAGATACATCACGCTTATAGGTGAAGCTTTTACAATTTATGTATGGAATAATAAAAGGCATGTTTATACTTAATGAATATGGCATCGATAGAAAATCTACAAATTTGACCTTAATGTCGATTTTTGGCCAATATCATCATTTGTGGATTGCGAGAAGTAACTCACTTCGTCAGCTCGCCTCACATAATAAATATACGTTTGATCTGAAAGAAGAAGCAAACCACACTAGAGCACCCGCCAGCAACCCACAGAAACGATCCCCGGTTGTGTGTCCTCAGATTCTGTGGTTCTCTAACATCGAGTCGTTGAAGGCCAGCGTGTTCATCCGTCCCTCCTGGCTGTTTGACGTGTTCAGGTCGCTGCTGCGTCATGACTTCAATGACGTCACCTTCACTCCTGACGACCAACTCAGGTGGGTGTCAAAGTATGGTTAATTATTTAACGCCGCCATCAACCCTGTTAGACTATTTAAAAGACGGGACCTACCAGTTAAGTTAAACGTCCATCTCCTAAAGGACCGAGCCAAGTGGGAAGTTCGTGTAAAGCGCATTTCCCAAGGGCACAACGCCGGACCGAGCTGAGGCTCGAACCGCCGAACTTCCAATCTCACGATTACAAGTCCGGTAGCCTAACCACTAGGCTACTGACGCCACTTCAGGGGGGGGGGGTGTGGTAATTCTTGAAGGAAGTAATGGACAAAGTATGTCCGATCACCAGAAGACCAAAGACATTGTTGCTGCATATTTCAAGTGATTATAATAATAAAATATGCAAATATACACATACGTATACACACAAAAACATATACAAACATTCACACACATTCTCTCTTTCTCGCTCGCTCTCTTTCTTTCTTTCTTTCTATTTCTGTTGCTCATTTATCTATCTATCTATCTATCTATCTATCTATCTATCTATCTATCTATCTATCTATCTATCTATCTATCTATATATCTATCTATCTATCTATCAACTATATGGACTGGCAGGTTCGAAGTTGCTAGCCTATCAAAATGATAATGATTATAATATTGATTGGTGTGTAGTGTAAAACAGCTACATTTACGTATGAAATGGAATCCACTAATCACTAATTAAACCAACATCTGGAGGACCAGCGGGTTTTCTTTGGTTTAGCGAGGTTTACGGTTCCAGAGAGGGTTACTCAAATAGAAGACCAAAAACAAAAAAAAATGGAGTATTTATTTAAAATGGTTATTTCAGATTTCCGCTGTTTTTAGATTAACTACGTTCGATTTAAGCGGACTCCAGAGTATATTTTTAGAGGAGATTGCTCTTAACCAGAATAGTATACATTAGAAAAGGTCGTATATTACGTTGTGCGTACTGTATGGACAGATAAACAAATTGAGTCACGATGCAGTGGAATCAGGCGCCAGTCAACTTTTGGGCTTGTGGAGTTATTGATATCATCTGAAAGCTGATTTATTTGCCTTGCTTCCAGTGGAATAAATATCCATCTATCTTGAATAAAACTCAAGATATTCGAAACTGAAGGAAGTGAGGTGGCCTGGTTTCAGTGGTGAAATTAGTGAGAAAATGGCCGTCAAGTTCTGGTAACTCCTATAGCTAAAGAGTCCTTGAAAACAGAAAAATGACATAATATTTTGTGCTTTTAATCACATTTTTTCCTGTAGAATTCACGTGAAAATGTGTTTTCATATGGATATAAAAGAGGTTGAGCCCAAAATAAACATTCGATAACGAAAAAAATGCCTGTTGCTCCGATTTCTGTGTTTTGACGAGTGCCTGATTTCGCGATGATGCCTCACAATTAATCACGTGACTTTGCTGTTTCAGGGCTGCCGGCCTGACCACCATGAAGTTTGACCGGCTCAAACAGGAAGCTGTGAGTGAGGGTGTGCTTGACCGTGACCTTGTCCGCTGTCTGCTCGCCAAGCTGATCCCCGCCGACCTGGTGACCCCGGCCACAGAGGTCATGAGGCTGCTCACAGACGGGTTCGAACTGGGATACTCCATCTCCAAGAAGCAGCGCGACTCCATCTACACTCTGGTGTCGGATAAGGACAACGAGGGGAAGGCTAAGCTGACTAAGATCTTAGTCCCGTGGCTGCGGAAAAACGCTGAGCCGGACGATTTTCTGCACATGTGGACGAGCAAACACGATCACAGGAAGCTGGTCAACTTCTTCCGCTTCCCACACTTTTTCCCGCCTGGACTATTTGAAATCGTGAGCGTCCGCGCGTACGCGGATAAACACAAACTTCGATTCAAGCACCATTGGGGCGGAGGGATACATGCCGAACATACGCAAGAGAAGGTGCATGTGGTGATTAGCTACTTCCAGCTGTCAGAAGAAGAAAGGAGAAAGAAGGTGAGGGGAGACGGGCTGGGCGGAGGAGCCACGTTGGAGAATGGTGGTAATGGTGGTGGTGGCGACGGCGATGATGATGATTGTGGTGGTGGTGGTGGTGGTGGTTTGGATGACGATGAGGAGGCTGCTGAGCTCGGGGTGATGCTGAAGTACGAGGTACGTGACGACAGCGGCGATGAGGCGGATCTGACGCCGGCTGCCACTATGTGGACGATCATGTTGCCGCTACTGATGGAGTTTGAGGAGCTTCTGGGTTCTTATGCCGGTGAGAAGAACTACTGTATTTTCGTCCATTTTGTCTTTCTTTTGGGAGCTTAGTTTTAGTTTTAGTAGAGGTTTTACGGCGCTCGCAACTGCATAAGGTCATATGAGCGCCAGAAGATTAGAGGTGTTACGATAGAGTAACAAACATAAAAAAAGAAGGGGAGATACGGACGATAGATGTTTGATAGGAAAGAAGAAGCAAACCACACCAGAGCACCTGCCAACCTTTTGAGAGCTTAGTGAAAAGGGTGAAATGGTATCAACACTATTAGGTTATTTAAGAGACGGGGCCTCCTAGTTTAACGTCCATCTCCGAAAGGACCGAGCCAAGTGGGAAATTCGTGTACAGTGCCTTTCCCAAGGACACAACGTCGGACCGAGCTGAGGCTCGAACTCCCGAACCCGCAATCTCATGATTGCGAGTCCGGTAGCCTAATACGGGGTGCCCACTACGGCTTGTTTTCAGTTTCAGGCGATCGAGTCGGGCGATCGGCCCGATCCAACTGTAGTGGGCACCCCGTATAACCACTAGGCCACCGACGCTACTCGGGGCTTAGTTGACTGTCCTAATGTTGTTGATCTTATGCAACAGCGAATGTCAATGTTTCTGGTGGTTTTGTGATGCCTCTCTGCTGCGGTTTTTTTGTTTGTTGTTTTTGTGTCTGTTGCTGCTGTTGTTGTTGTTTTGTTGTTTTTGTTGTTGTTGATGATGCTCTTATTATGTTCTTTATGCAGTTGTTATGATAATATTGTTGCTCATGTCTTTGTTTAGATTGCTGGAATGCTATACTATCGTTGATATTGCTGGGGTGTTCTTGTAAATTTTGTTGAAATGTTGTTGCTTTCGTCATCGTCGTTGTCACTGTTGTTGTTGTTGTTGTTGTTGTTGTTGTTGTTGTTGTTGTTGTTGTTGTTGTTGTTGTTGTTGTTATTGTTGCTGTTGTTGCTGTCTTCACTGTTCCTAATACTGTTGAGATGTTTTTGCTATTGTTGTTGTTGATGTTGCAATGTTGCTGCTGGGGTTGCCTGTGTTTCTTGCTTGTAAATTGGTCGCTTTTAAGCAAAAGAGGGCTATCCCAAAAAATGCTGTTTTGGGAAAATCGAAGGTAAAGTTTTTGAACCCTCGTTAAGTTTCTTTAAAAGATAAGGAGAGTTTTCTCTGCAACTAGACAAATATACACACAAATGAAACCAAACTTCTCCTATAGGTAGGGCAATGCCCACTTTTGGTATAGGTCAAAATTTCTGGAAACCCCCGAAACCTGGGTTAGCCCGCTTGTCCTTAATTAAAAGCGATCAATTGTAAAGGTGAGTCTGCAACTGCTTCTGTGTTTGCACTAAGATGTTCTGTAACGTCGTTTTCCCCTCTCTCAACCGTCAACACTAACGGACAGGGTTCGTTTCTGCTTCTGGTTCAACCATAAACGTCCCCGTGGTTTTACGCACCCCGCATAATTTAGCAAAATTTGATCATTTTTGGGGCATAATTTCTGATTATTTTCCTTCATCATTCTTTGTTAAAATTAACAGAATCGCATAATTTCACATTTTTGGGCTCAGTTTGCATAATTTCAGAATTTTTCTGGCATAAAACGACGGGGACAACCATAGAGCCCAAGATAGTCTCAGGCCAGGCAGACAGTGAAGGGGTCGTTAGTGAGTTCCTTTCCTCTATTTCCCACTCTCAGGTATTCTGGTGGAGCGACTCACCGAGTGCCCCCTCTGCCGGCAGCCATCTTTCTTGGGGGAGTGGCTGACCCCAAAAGAGACTCAGGGATTGGCTACACGGGTCTGCGAGTCTTGTGGCCAGGATGTAGATACGGCGTTTTTGGTGCAGCCTAGGGAGAAGAAAAGAGGTAAAGGCTTATGTTGTAATACAGTAAACCATATTATTCCCTGTACCATGTTCAATTTTGTCCTGGGCTACAGGATGCGATACATAATATATGTCACGGCGCAGTGGAATCAGGCGCTCGTCATGTTTTTGGTATATTATAAAGTTATTGGTATCGCGTTAAAGCTTGTTCGTTTGTCATGCTTTCGATGAAAAAACTACAGACTTAGCTTTAATAGAAGTCGAGACATTTTAGTCGAAGGAAATGGGAGGGGGGGGGGCTGGTTTCAGGGGTAAAATTAGAAAGAAAATGGCCTCCAAAGTTTGGCGTTTTCGAAAGCTTGAGAGTCTTTGTTAACTGTAATTTTCATTTTGTGTGCTTTAACCATTGTTTTTCCAGTAAAATCCACAGAACAGTGTATTTTGGAATAGACATAAAAGGTGCTGAGCCAAAAAAATAAAAATTCGATAAAAATTGCAAAACGGAAAGAAAAAAAAAAAGCCATTTTCTTTGGTTTCATTATTTGAAGGAGCGCCTGATTCCACCACGATGCCACACAATTATTATCTCAGTCAGGACCTCTTCCATTGATTTCATCCCCCACCCCCACCCCCATCCCCCCACCCCCCCCCAAAAAAAAAACAACAACATCAACTCTGTAGCTTTTTAATTGAGTGCATTTGGAGAAGGAAAAAAAATGTTTGTTTTGTTTATTTTCCACACCAGCGTTGATTTTGATTTCAGTAAACAATTTATGATTTATTCCTATCTTCTTCAGTTGAGGTTTTCAGGTAGCACAGCTTCTGTGTGGTTGGACGTTTATTTGTAGGAAGGTCTTGGTTCTTTGAGTGAAGATTCTAAACTGTTGCATTAGATACTACAATATCTGTTTTTGTTGCTGTCTTAAAAAAAAAAAAAGAAATCCAACCGGTACTGAAGATGCAAACAAAGGTCCCATTTAGAAGTATTGAATTTCAGGAATTTTTAAACTGGTTTTAAGCTGATAAATTGATGTACATAATATGTGAAGTGTGTTGACAAAATGAGTTACTTCTCGGATTCCACAAACGGAAATATTGGCCAAAAGTCCACACTATAGGGTCAGATTAGTAGATTTTCTATTGATGCCACATTCTTTTTGTATTATAACGGGCTTTTTATTATTCCATACTTATAAATTGTAAAAATTTCACCTAATCGCGTGATATATCTATTTCCATAGGGATGGGATGTAAAAAAAAACCCAACTCATTTCATTTTGTCAGCACATTTCACAAATACTATTATTCCCAGGAATTCATGATTCATGTTTGATCGTAATTCTGAGTTTGATTCCTGTCCATGTCTGTATCCATAGCCGCCCCTAGGGCTGCCGTTCAACTATAGGTAACGACATGATGTTTCAGTTCGTTGTACGAGTAGTTTTGATTTCTCTTCCTTTTATTTTTTTGTGGTCATTCTTACTATCATTATTTTTAGAGGTTTGAAGAATTAATAATCTTCTCTTTACCAGTAAGACAGCTTATTCTTCATTATAATTGACTTTGTAGTCAGTTTAGATGTAACCAATGCTTTTGACGAGATGTGCTTAACTTAATCAGGGGAATGTGAAAAGGCGCTTTTATCAATGATTAAAATTTGCATTGTCGGATGAGTAGATAGCTTTTCTTTGCATGGCACGCTGATCTTTTCTTTCAGAGTTGGAAAACTTGACTTAAATCTAATATCCCTTGAAGTCCTCTTTCTTGTCCAATTGAATTTTTCCAATCGTTTATTTGTTATTTAATTTTTAAAAACATATTTTGTACTTTCGAAAGTTGCTATCAACAAGAGCTTCATTTGTCACTGTTCAGGTAGGCTACATGTTGCTTCAAACTGAAAAAGCGTATATTATGCAAGTAAAAAACCCTCAAATTCAATGCATTTATTTCTAGCATTGCACGAATTGCGATATTCACGGAGTTAGTTTTCTCAGAAATTATGTTGGTTGAACTTTGTCCAGATTATTAAGAGTTTTACGGCACTGGCAACACATATAGATCATATAAAAGCCCTAGACTAAAGGTATTGCAAGACAGTTGCACACACACACACACACACACACACACACACACACACACACACATACACACACATACACACACACACACACTCACGCACGCAAACATACATACACACACACTCACGCACGCACATAAGAAGATGAGTGATAAGGACGACATATGTTTATTCAGAAAGAGGGAGCAGACCACACCAGAGCACGCGTTAATCACCTATTCATAATAATTATTATAGTATCGATTCCACAGTCCTTCTCCTTATCCTCTTTCACAATTTTCGTCTTCTTTTCCTTCTTGATCTTGTTGGTTTTGCGATCAAAATTTGTGTTATCGTTCTTATGTGTATGTATGTGTGTGTGTGTGTGTGTGTGTGTGTGTGTGTGTGTGTGTGTGTGTGTGTGTGTGTGTGTGTGTGAGTGAGAGAGAGACAGAGAGAGAGACGAGGGAGAGAGAGAGAGAGAGAGAGAGAGAGAGAGAGAGAGAGAGAGAGAGAGAGAGAGAGAGAGAGAGAGAGCCCAGTGACCCCACCCGTATACAGGTACATTCTTATACTGAACCCCACCCCTTTCATTGGCCGGGTCTCACGCCCTTAAAAGGGCAACAGCGTAAAGACTACTTGTTCCCACGCAGGATTCCTTTCATTCACAACTCGGGGTCAGATCGAGGCCAGAGGTCACCGGGGCGAGACCCAACTACCTACCTGCCTACCTGCGCTGTCGGTAGATTTATTCTGGATTCTCATTGGTCGAGGAGAGTTTGACGTCAGGAGCTACGCTGTTTTCGTCTGCTCCTCCCCAGGTATTTCCTCCTCCAGCGGGGGCTCGGTTCGTTTCTGATTTATTGTGTCAGAAGAAATATTTCTCCGGTGCGTGTGTTTATTTGTTTGTTTGTGTGTATCTATCGCCAGCTGGAACAGTTTGGCGTGGATAGTGACAGAACGAGATCTTGATTCTATAACTAAGACCGGGCTTGGAGCAGGACTGGAGTTTTTGCTCTCTTTCCATCGTTTTTTCTTCTTCTTTGCCTGATCGTGTGGATTTCCGAGCTGTGTTTATTATTATTATTATTA